GTCTAGACGAAATATGCAAATAATATGAAAAAGAAGTACAAAAATTCCATTTATAAGCTCCCCACCCTTTAAGCCTACAGAATCCTAATTACCTCTGAAGGATCTACAATTTATTTATTTGTTTGTTACTTCATTTATTTTATTATTTAGACAGGATTTCATTATGAAGCTTCAGTTGCCTAGACCTCACTATGTAGACCAGGCTGGCTCCCTTGAGCGAATGAACTCTTATCTTTGACTCAGGAGTGCTGGGGGATGAGAGGTGAGCTATACCATACACTTGGGGGTACCTTTTAATCTCATCTCATCAGTGAGTTGGGAATCAACTCTGAACTTTAAAAAACACCAATACACTATAATACTCCTTTACATGGAACAAAAAGTGTCTCGGCTACTAGTATTCTGGATTCTGAGGCTGAGGGTATGTGGAGGGGATTGGTGACTAAGGAGACACAGACACCTAAGGAAGGCCCACAATTACCAGGGAGCAGTGGCAACAGAGAAGCTGCCTGAGGCAGACAGCTAGAGGGAGCAGCATGTGACAAGCCTCCTCTGTGACTGAAAAGCAAGTGTTGGGGGAAAGAGTGTCTCTTCAGATACTGCAGGGCAGCAGACCACACCCCCAAGCTCCTTCTGGCTTCAGTGGCTCCCCCATTCTTACTGGGGCAGGCTTGCTGCTGATCCCCGACACAGTATAATGAGGGTATTAAGGAAATCATACATGCTATTGTTCTGAGCAGTAGCCAGAATGCTGGCCCCTGCAGAGCTGTCACCATGGCTACCGTGAGACTGCTTTCTATCAGGAGAAGAGTGACTCATGTAGTGAATTCTGTAGATGTCAGTGGGCACATCGTGCTCCATAAGGAACTCTGGCAGATTTGTCTTTAGGATCTGGGTATTGATTGTCATTAACAAGCTGTGCACAGACCAGTCAAATCTGCAGTAGACTGCAGTATTGCTGTACACACACCGAGAGGATCTCAGGTTCTGGGGCATTGGCAATGCCTTTTGCACATTAGGAACCCAGTGATTGGATTTGTAGGTAGACTTTTTTCCTGCCAGTCAGTTCCCAAATAACCACACAGAGACTTATTATTAATTATAAATGCATGGCCAATAGCTCAGTTACTTGCTAACTCTTACATTTTAAATTAACCTATATTTATCATCTAGGCTCTGCCACATGTCTTAGTACCTTTTCTCAGTTTGGTAATTTTATTTTCTGCTTCCTCTGCATCTCCTCCTGAATTCCAAGACTACTCTTCTTCTTCTTCACCCTCTCTTATTGTCTACCAGTCCTGCCTAACCTCTCCCTGTCCAGCTACTGGTTGGTCAGCTTTTTTATTGCACCAATTATAGTGACATATATTTACACAGTGTAAATGAGTATTCTACATTTACCCTTTATTATCTAATTAAAAGGAAGGTTTTAACTCTACCGTAGTAAAATTATATGCAACAAAACCAATTATCAAGTAAGAATTACAGTTACAATAGCTAGTCCTTTTGTATTAGGCAAATTTGGAGAAAATATTATTTAACTTATTTCTGTGAGTCTCAAGTTTTTTAACCTAATATAAACCTTTCTCCTATAACTACAGAAAACTTTAAGTTTAATTATTAACTCTTTAATTCCCTCAAAGACACCATTAGTGTGTGATGTTACCTAACAGGGAGATCTGGCTACCAGGACAGTCACCAAAATGTCTTCTGTAATGTTGGGGCATCCAACTTTGGAATTCAGGCCTAGTATACCTGACAGACATTTTTGATAGAAAGCCCACAACAGGACAAAGTACAGATAACACCAATGTCCAAGTTAGTGAATCAATGAGTTTTATTGCAGTTTCTTACAGAAATACTAGTGAGGGGAGGCTTACCAGAGCAGAAATGACTCAAAGACACAGCTGTATCCACATAGCCTATTCCAGCATGAGTGACTGACTGCTCACAAAAGTGGTGGGATATCTGGAGCACACTGCACAGCTTGCCAGAAGCTCAAAGGCATAGAAAGTGTTCTTTCCAAGGGACTCAGTTGGTCTCAAGCTCTACCAACTAGTTTTGCTGATCTCTGGTTTTTCCAGGCATCTGGTCTTATCTCAGTCTTTTTGGCTAAAAGTAGGCTTTTCTGAGAGTAACTCACAGAATTCTTTATTGTTTACTCTTGGGAGAGAGCTGCCTAGTGGATCTGGTCAGCTTCAGGGACTTAAACTGGGGTTATTTACTTCTGATTTAAGAAGGTCCTCTGCAGGATTAAAAGTTTCAATCCCTGGGGACCTGCTACACAAAAAGATCCGAGTTGTGTTTGGATTGAGGCACGAATCAAACAAAGATCAAGACTATACAAAAGAAAGGAAATTTCTTTAGTGATTCTAGGGTTTGTGACTTGGGAGACTGGCTGGAAAAATATCTGGGAAAGTGTTTTAAATCTCAGGCACAAGAGGGAAATGGAAATTTGGAGCAGGGTGTGGATCAGGAGTGAGGTTGTGAAAGAGCTGGTGAGCTTCCATTAGCTCAGGTACACTGTTTCAGTGGGTGTCCCCATCATAGTCTTCACCTCTTTGCTCATATTCTCACTCCTCCCACTCTTCAACTGGACTTTAGGACCCCAGCTCAGTGCTCCACTGTGGATCTTTGCCTCTGTATCCATCAGTTGCTGAATGAAGGTTCTTTACTGACATTTAAGATATTCTTTAATCTGACTACAGGACAAGGCCAGTTTGGGCACCCTCTCCACTATTGCTTAGGGTGCTTGCTGGGGTCATGCTTGTGGATTCCTGGGAATTTCTCTCGTGTCAGGTTTCTTGCTTAACCCCATAATGGCTCCCTCAATCAGAATATCTCTTCCCTTGCTCTCATCTTTGTCCTTCCTCCATCTCGACTATTCCATTCCCTCAAGTTCTCCTCACCCCTCCCCTTCTCCCCTACTTTTCCCCTCCTGTTCTCCCTTCTCCCTCCAACCCCATGCCCCAAATTTTGTCAGTCAATATTGTCTATTTTCCCTTTCCAGGTGAATGTATATATGCTTTCCTTATGGTTGACCTTGTTACTTAGCTTCTCTAGGGTCATGGTCTATAGGCTTGTTATTCTTTGCTTTACAGAAAGTATCTACTTATGAGTGAGTACATACCATGTTTATATTCTGGGTCTGGGTTACCTCACTCAGGATGGTTTTTTTTCCTAGTTCTGTCCATTTGCATGCAATTTTCAAGATGTCATTGTTTTTTCCTGCTGAGTAGTACTCCATTGTACAAATATACCACATTTCCTTTATCCATTTTTGTGTTGAGGGGCATATAGGTTGTTTCCAGATTCTGCTATTACAAATAATGCTGCTATGATCGTACTTGAACAAATATCCTTGTAGTATGGTTAAACATCCTTTAGATATTGCTGAGTCCTGAGGTGGTGTGGGACAATTCTGTATTCTGTCAATTATGTTTTAAATAAACACTGGTTGGCCAGTAGCCAGTCTGGAAGTATAGGCGGGACAACCAGACAGGAAGTAGAGGTAGTTCAATACTAACAGGAGAATTCTGGGAAGGAGGAAGCCCATTTCTCCCCAGTCCTGTCCAGACACCGAAGAAGCAAGATGTGACCCACCTTGCTAAAAAAGGTACTGAGCCATGTGGCTAACATATATTAGAATAATGGGTAAAGCAGTGTTTCAATAAATACAGTTTCTGTGTGATTATTTCGGGGCTAAACTAGCCCAGTGGCAAGAATAAACAAGCAGACCCTCATATTACAATGAGTAACGTGATTCCCAATTTCCTGAAAAATTGCATACCAATTTGCATAGTGTTTGTACAAGTTTGCATTCCCACCTGCAATGGAGGACTGTTCCCCTTACTTCACATACTCTCCAACACAAGCTATCATTGGTGATTTTGATCTTAACCATTCTGACTGGTGTGAGACAAAATCTCAGAGTCGTTTTGATTTGCATTTCGATGATGGCTAAGGATGTTGAACATTTCTTTAAGTGTCTTTCAGCAAGTTGAGATTCTTCTGTTGAGAATTCTGTTTAGTTTTGTACCCCATATTTTCATTGGATTATGTGGAATTCTGATGTCTAATTACTTGAGTTCTTTATATATTTTGGAGATCAGTCCTCTGTCTGATGTGGGGTTGGTGAAGATATTTTCCCATTGAGTATTCTGCCTTTTTGTCTTATTGACTGTGTTCTTTGCTTTACACAAGCTTCTCAGTTTCAGGAGGTCCCATTTATTTATTGTTGTTCTCAGTGTCTGTGCTTCTGGGGTTATATTTAGGAAGTGGTCTCCTGTGCACATAGATTGAAGGCTACTTCCCCCTTTCTCTTCTGAGTTTCAGTTGGATTTATATTTAGGTCTTTAATCTATTTGGATTTGAGTTTTGTGCACTGGGAGAGATATGGATCTATTTGCATTCTTCTACATGATGACATCAAGTTATGCCAGCACCATTTGTTGAATATGCTTTCCTTTTTTTCTATTGTATAATTTTAGCTTCTTTATCAAAAATCAGGTATTCATAGGTGTGTGGATTAATAATTGGGTCTTCAGTTCCATAGGTCAACCTGTTTATTTTTATGCCAATATCAAGCTGCTTATTTAAAATAGTTTATTTAAAATAGTTCCATAGTCATTTAATAAGCAAAGGCAAATCTGTAAAACAAAAACATAAAACATGCATACATATACACATTAATAAAATACCTGAATGTATAAGGAACCTTAAGTAAACAAAATATTTTTAAAGCAATATAGACAAGGCAAAGCATACACAGAAATTTTGGGCATATGTATATATATATATATACTATTACATACATGAAAGCAATACTCTTCTTTTAGAATAATCAAAACTGACTAATAAAATAAGCAATAAGAGTGGCTACCATTTGAATTGTTAAGAGCTGCTGGTAAATATTACATCAATACTACTGACAGGAAGTGATCTATTGCACCCCAGGGGTGGAAGTTGGAATATGTACAATCTTTAACACTCATCACTCATCATGATAGCTTTGATCTGATCGTTATCTTTATGGAAAAGAAGATTCGACTTAAAAGACTGAGGCAGGTGGTTTTAACTATTTGAGTGAGGTCATCTTTAATACCATAGTGTGACCCGTTTAGAAACCATGAAAAAAAAAGGAGGGAGCAGAGGAAAGGAGAAGGAGAATGGGGAAAGGAAAAGAATAAAGGAAAGAAAGAAGAAAATTAGGTAGAAGGGAAGGGAGGGGAGGAGGGAAGGAGAGAGGAAGGAGAAGTAGGGAAGCTGAAGAAGGGGAGAAGCTAAATCACACTTCATAGTTTTAAAGGGGCCTGTTACCAGGGGGCGGGGCCACTGCTCCAGAAAGGCAGTAGTAGACTATGGCGAATGAATGAATGCCTGTCTGCTCTGTGACGTTTGAGCCTGAGCTAGAGAAATTCAGCTACCCTAGGCAGTACTGGCTGACAAAGACTTTTCAGCAATGCCATGGCAGAGAAGCTTCTGCTAGTCTCTTTGAGAGGTGCTGGGTGATTTCATCAATGGGGCTTCTAAACAGCCGCAGCACTTTGAGAAGCAGTGATTCCGGCTTGGCAGAGTCAGCTCAGCCAGAAGACAACGCAGGTCCAGGTCCCAGTTACATCTCTGGCAGTCGCAAGCGCAAATGGGGCATTTGGGACTGTGTGGCACCAACCCCTAACATCCACGAATCTTGGAACCAGAGAGTCAACCTAGAGCAACTTTTTGGCATCGTCTACAGGAAAAAACCGAGGCTATCATCTAAGTATGCATACGAAAATTTATTTTTGGACTGCAAGGTTACCGACATTCGAATCCGCGCACTTGAAGTAGAATGGCCTCTACACAAAGCATTTTTATGCCAGTCAGCCTTCTTTGCTAAGATGCTAAAAGATACTTGGAAAGAATCCCACAGTGGTGTTGTTGACCTGCAGATTAAGAACAAGGATATAGATGTCGGCTCCTTGCACTTTGTGTTTGGGTCATTGTACAGGGACGAGGACTTGCCAATAACACCCCGTCGAGTGCCTCACATTTTGGCAGCAGCATGCCTGCTTCAGGTGGAGCATGTCATCCGGCAATGTAAAGAGATCATGAACAGCAGCATCACTAGGGAAACCGTGTGCTCATACTACACAGCAGCAGAAACATATGGACTGAAATCTGTAAAGACATGCTGCTTTGACTGGCTTCTCTGCAACTTTATGATTCATCCAACTGTTGAACTTTACAGGGAAATTGATACAAAGCTCATGTATCTTCTTATTTCTTCACCTGATTTACTAGTTATGCAAAAGGAAATGGACATCTACACCACCCTGAAAGGGTGGATATTTCTTTATTTTAATCCATCCTGGAAAGGTCCAGTGAAGAAGATCTTAATTAATGCCAACAGGTGGCTTTCCAAGCACATGGAACGCGTTGATAACATCAGTTTTCTTGAAAGTGAAGAAGGACTAATATATCAACTAGTTTTTTAAAAACTGAGTTTCCAACATATCATCTGTGATGTGGGTGACACAGCTACTCTTGAACAAGATCGTCTAATACCTTTAGAATGGTTGACACCCATTTATAAACAGCAATGGCTGGCTTTGCTTCAAGAACAAGAACACATGGAAATAGGGCCACGAATCATCAGTGAAGAACTTGAAGACTGCGGCATGAGATGTGGTACAATGATTAGCAGAGATGGTAAATACTCCTGGAAGTGGTCAGATTTTAGGTTTAGTTTCCCTATAAGAGTCAACTTTACCAACCGTCACATCATTTTTAGGCAAAGTCGTCAGCGGTATGATGGATGTTGTTTAGAACAGGTACGAAAAGTAGTGTTCAAAATAACTTTGGTGTGTTTTGATTCCAACGGGAAAGTAACATTCAGTAAAACAACTGGTCACAAAATCGTTACCTTTGAATATAAGGAGGAACAAATTGTAATGAAGTTAGATGTCATAGTTTTAAGCTTCCCCTTATATATATTCTTCAATTTCCTGTTTTTTTCATCAGAAAATGCAGAACATATGTGATCTTGTCAATTATTAGACCATAGAAGCAGCTTACAAACATTGATTGATTCATTAACTTGAAGGCTGTGCTGTAAATGTAGTTAAGATGACCGACAACAAAATGAAAATTCTTAGGAGTCTAGCACCACCACAGAGGACTCAAATCCATCTGCATTTTATTTTAATACATTTCTGAAGAAAAATTCCACATCCAACAAAGAATTTGTCAAAGCAAATCAGAAGAAACTGGTCTTTTGATTTTTATTTACCATCAACGATCAAGCCTCGAATGGCAATAAGAGACGTATTTGCAAGGAAAATCAGCGAAATGAACTTGTTGAGTAGATTTGACAACAGTCAAGGTTGAGACAGAATAAAAAAATTTCTTCATTGCTCAAACTGTTGTGAATCGTAGCTTATTTATATGTGTATAAGTCATTGGTTAAGAAAATAATTGAGATTAGTCACTATTGATTATGCTTTCAAATAATCAAATAGTGTCCAGTTTTTCCAGATAGTGTAACATAACATGTTGGTATTTTAAAATTGGTTTTCAGATCATTTTACATGATTTGGATAACTTTTACTGCTGATTATCTTTAACTATTTATGCACAAAATGGATATTTATCTTATAATCGAACATGCCATCGGCTATGTAAACAAGTATATTATATATTTAGTGTGTTTACATAAAAGTATCTATGTTTACATACATATATGTATATATTTATGTCACTGTAAGTAGCAAAGAATGCAAGTTTTGAAAGGGATAAACAAGCCAGGAAATGGAACATAGATCTTCATGATTCCAGTCTTCTGGCTATCAAGAAAGAGTTATTTCACATTCCCTGCCTTAGTTTCTTTTTTGATTGCTGTGATAGAACTCTCTTAGGAGAACAACTTAAGGGAGAGGGTTTATTTTATCTCAAGCTTCAAGGGGATGCTCCATCACCACAGGACTCTGCCGCAGCTCGTCACATAACATCCACAATAATAAAAAGAGATGAGTGCTGTGCAAGCCCTCAGCTTTCTCCATTGCCAGCTGACAGCTCTAGCTGTCACAACTCTGCCCCTTGTCCACATGACACCCAATCACACCACTTTTCAGCCACAACCTTCTATCCCTTCCTCCTCATAGGCTCACCACCATGTTGTGGTATAATATGCATTCATGTACTCACTCATAGGTGGTTTTTAAACATAAAGCAAAGAAAACCAGCCTACAAACCACAATCCCAGTGAACCTAGACAACAATGAGGACACTAAGAAGACTTACATAGATCTAATCTACATGGGAAATAGAAAAAGACAAGATCTCCTGAGTAAATTGGGAGCTTGGGGACCTTGATGGAGGATTGAAGGGGGAAGTGAAGAGGCAGGGAGGGGAGCAGAAAAAAAATGTAGAGCTCAATAAAAAAAGAAGAGGAAAGAAAAAACATGCTTTTAGTCCATCTTTAAAAGTCCCCATAAACATTTCCAACAAAGTCTTTGTATGAATTGTCTTTATTGGTTTTCTTTCATACATGAACATATTTTGTTTCTATACTCACTGACTCCCACCAACTATTGGTTCTGTCTTCCCACTTCCCTGCCCAGCTGCATTTGTTCTTATATAACCTACTTATTCCAACTTGCTGTCCATATGGACATGGCTGTAGGTCTGAGATGAACTTGTGTCCATATTCCCATGGCTGTAGGGCTGTCCACTGTATATGGATAACTTACCAGGGATCCTATCTCTGAAGAAAACTGACTTTCTCTCCCCTGGCAGTTCTCAACTGTCCGGAGCTTATCAACCAACCATAGTGAGCTTCTCCACCAACTATGCTGGAATAGTGATGAGACAGTTCGTGTACAAGACCTGTGTATTGTGTATGCAATTATGGCTGTGGAAAATTGAGTGTCATTTCCTGCCATGTGTAAAGACATAGTTTTGTGACGGTCTTCCCTGACTTCTGGATCTTAATAAGCTTTCTGCCACCCTTTTCTTCAGTATTCCCTGAACCTTGGGAGGAGGATTTGTAATTTGTGGGGTGACCATCCCCAAACAGTTTCAAATATTTAAAACTCAGAAGTTTCTTAATTGTGAACACACAAAATAAAAAATAAGTTATGTACTTCTAGGGAAAACACTCTTGGGCAGTTCCCTTTTAAAGAAAATAAGGTCTTTTGCTTAGACGTTCTCTCTTTAAATGGAGTAGGCTCACCACATGATGGAGGCTCCAAGGACTTGTGTTTTGCCCTCAGAACACCTTCCCTATGGCCCCAGGGAAGCACAGCTTTCCCTTCAGTAGTGCTGATCTCTGTAACAGTTCCAATTGCTTCCTCAGAACTAGCCTGAAAACTCACCTGTTTTTAAATTTATCTTACTTATGCGTGTGGGTATTTTACCTGCACGTATGCCTGTATATTACTTGTGTGCTTGGTGTCCAAAAAGGCCAGAAACGAGCATTGGACCCCCTGAGATTGATGCAGAGGTTGTGAGCAACCATGTGGGGGCTGGGAATTGAATTTAGATACCCTGGAAGAGCAGTCAGTACTCTTAACCACTGAGCCATCTCTCCAGCCTATGCTTGCCTGTTTCCTTGGTTTTTCTCCAGACTGATCTTAAAATAGTCGCTTAGGACAATTTCTGTCTTCTAGTTTGTTTCAAAGAGTAGTGTAGGTGGAGTTTTGAAGGACCATCCATTCCCAATATACCAGTGGAATAGACATGTCATCATAAAAAGAGAGGAAGGAGACTGATACGATGTGACCACATTGAGAAGAGGAGCCCTCAAGCCTATCATTGATGGACTGATATGAGATTGAGGTTTAAGTAGAGTAAGTGGAGAGCAAAAACTGCACATAATTCAGCTGTCCTGGTCAAGGTGTGGTCCTGCCCATCATTAATCCATCATTGTCTCCAATCTGTCTGTCGTGATAGGGTGTCTGATAAATTTACAGAATTGTGTAAAATCTCTTCTAGGATGCAAGTTATTCATATGACTGGTACCAGTGCCTCAGTCTTCCCTATTCCTCAGCACAAAATTCCTGAAGAAATTTAAATTTGGGGGTCCACTGTTTTGATAGTCTGGTATCCAAATAAAAACATAAGCAGAATAGAAGTGGGAGCCAAGATTACTAGACATTTAGTTAGTGTTAGGTAACCTTGAATTAAAAAACAAACAAACAAACCACATTTCTCTATAACCTCTCACTTTCAGTTGCCATAGGATAGACTGGCACAAATGTCTCCTTTTTGGTTGCTGGTTGAAGGTCAGGCTGGCTTCAAATTTGTGATTTTCTGCTTCTGCCTCCTAAATGCTCAGATTACAGACAATCGTCATCATGCCCACTATAATTTGAAATTTTAGAGAGTAATGCACAAACTAATTTTTTTTTTGTTTTGCAAGAGTGAAACACACACATATATGATACTTATGCAGTAAAGGAAGGTAGATATAGTGTCTTATTTAGAAGGTGTGCTGAAGTGGCAGATAATTTATCTGAACATTATTTACTAAAAATAGCACAATGGCAAAAATATTTCGCTGGACATTTTATATGTGAAAACTGAACATTTTCCCTGAAGACACCCTGCTTAGTCATCAGGTGGTTTGATCGAAACCATCTCTGGTCGCCAGGAAGAAATCTCTTCCAGATAATCTGAGCTGATCTAATGTTGGTGGAGAGGAATAGACATTAAGCATTTGATGTCAAAAAAGACCCTTTTACTGTCAAATCCAAACAGCTAAGGGGTGTGGAGCAGGAGGTCCTTAGGGTTACCCCACCTGGAGTATATTCCCAGGTTTGTTCTTCCTGTTTGCAGAAGCTGCTGCTCAAGTTCTCCTGTTAAAAGCTGTCCCTGTGCAGAATATCAAGAGACAGCCATTACAATGCTTTTCAAGACAATACAGCACAACTAGCAACATTTCTTTATTTAATCTTTGAAAATCTCACATCATGCGCCCCAATTCTTCTCACCTCCTGGTCCCCCCATGTTCTTGCCTCTCTCCTGCAGCAGCCCTCCAAACTAAATTGTTTTAAAAAAGCAAAGCAAAGCAAAAACCTGTTCACTCCTCCATCTTACCACTACCCCAACACCTCTTGATTCCTCCTGGTGGCATTGGGAGCTATGGTGTGTCACACAGTATGCACCCTGTCCAATCAGCTTTACTTGCAACTGTTCATTGCAATGAATCATTGTTATGGCTTCAATGTCTCTGGTTTCTGGTCACCACTGAACCCTCACTGAAACTCCTCCACAGCCACCAGAGTCATGGAGATCCTGCAGGTATTATTTCACAGGACCAGTCCTCTCACGAGTTCCAGCAGGTTCTAGATGGTGTAGATGTTAGAGTGGGACAACGCCAGGCCCAGCTGTGGACCTAGTTGGTAGTTGAATTCGTCAGTCCAGGCAACCAGGGCTGCCCCCTGACCCAAGGTGAGGGAAGCAACCAACTCCTCTATGCTCATGTCATAAGGCCAACTCTCCTCGGCCATGGTGAGGTGTGAGGCCATCTCTCCCAAGTGCAGGGACCCAGCTCTCCCATAAGGGGCAGGACCAGCTCTCTTACTTCACCATCCAGTGAGGGTAAGGGTCAGCTTTCCTAGGGCCGGTAAAGGCCAGGTCTGGCTCAGCATGGCCCTCTGATTTCATCATGCATGGTTTCCATGCACCCCTGAGGTGACACTGGTGACAGACATCAACACAGACCCCAGCTGCAGCAGGACCATGGTCCCAGACATGGACCTTGGCAGCAGCTTGAGCCTGGATGATATCCTGGCTCTGGTTGGAAGCATGGGTCACTCAGGATGGCTCTAGTGGTGGCATAGCCCTGCACACCAACAAGGTCACAGGTTGTGACCCCGACCCATGTAAAGTTCCATGTAACCTTTGGTAGTAACACAGACCACAGCTATGGTGGAACCATGGACCCAGACATGGTCCTCGGCAACAGCCAAATCTGGGTGCCACCATGGCTCCAAGTGGCAGTGCAGGCCACTCAGATTGGCACAGCCCTTGGACACTAACATGGCCCCATATCTCAGGCATCCATGTGGCCTTCGATAGTAATAAGAACCCGAGACCTCAATACAAACCCTGGCTGCAGTAGGGCCACAGATCCAGATATGGCATTCAGCTGCAGTTCTGGCCCTGATGTCACCATGTGATCAGGTGGCAGTGCAGGCCACTGAGATCTGCATGTCCCCAGCTGCAGCATGACCCTCAGACTCCTACATGAACTCGGGTGACTGACCTGACCTTGGGTATGCACATGACCCTCGGTGGCAACATGAGACATGGACTTCATTACAGACTCCAGCTGTAGTAAGACCAGGGACCCAGATATGGTCCGT